CGCAGTGCGCGGTCGAACGAAGTGAGAAGAAATAACCTAAGCTCCCTTGATGTTAATCCGCTAAGCCTTTGTAGGAAACACAAAACCTTTATACTGCTTAATTGAAAGCGATGAATGATTGACACGCGTCCACTTATTCTCAAAGTTGACAATTTGGTGGTCGCTTTCAAGCATATAATTAAAACAGCGGATCTTTTTAATTCAATTTCGTCAAGAAAGGTTTATTTTCAGCACATGTAGCTTTACTTTTGATTGTTGGTTGATTGTCCCAATGAAAAGCACGGCCCACCTAGCAAGTTCTCAATTTCGTGAGCATAAATTTGATTGTCATCAGCTTTAATCTGGACGTAAATTGACTAAACTCATGCGCAAACGAATGCTTCTTTAATCAGCTGCCGGTAGCACAGCGAGGTTTTTTCAAAATGTTAATTGCCCCGATCGTCACAAAGATCAAAGTTTGGTGAAAGTTTCTGCCCAACACAAACAGGGCACAAGATTAGTGATAAATGAAGATTCGATTTGCTATCGTGCCATTTACTTTGACAGCTTCAATTAATGGCCCTTTGGCGCTCGCAAAAACGTAAATAAAACAAAACAGGTGCAAAGCTATTTCAGCGCATACATTTCCACGTTTCAGTCGGACATCACGAAAATTTTTAAATCTGTAAACAATAAAAAATGTTTTGTCTTTGTTGCATAAAACTTAGCTTTAGGCCTCGCGCCATATGAGTGAACCCCAAAATATTCTTGAAAAGTACAAAAGTAATACATTTTGTGTATTTTTTCAGATAGGGAGGGGTTTCTTACATTCTGTCAGGAGTCAACATATCCGGTCGCTTTCGAGTCTTCGAGTAAATAATCACGCACTAACTAATATAAATTGACTAAGTTGAAGAGTTAACGCTGACCTGTAAAAGCTTTTAAACCACTTGCTCGTTCGTGACGAAAAATCTCTCCACTTGCTCTCAATGAATAACCTAGCAAGTATATTACAAGGAAGAAACCGCGAGTTTGATTCCGTT